CTTTGTTCATCTCGCAGGGAGAAATGTCTCGGTCATTTACAATGGCAATCTTTGTTCATCTCGCAGGGAGAAATGTCTCGGTCATTTACAATGGCAATCTTTGTTCATCTCGCAGGGAGAAATGTCTCGGTCATTTACAATGGCAGTACAGTGCAGTATCCTAGAAAAAAGAGCGAGATACACGATAAAATAGTCCCCACCTAGGAATCAAACCCAGGTCTCCTGACTATGGTCATTACATAGAGATGATTGACCCAATTCTCCCCGACAAACACAAACAGAGACAGCTCGCGCCAGCATCGTCATCCCTGCATGCGGTGCACCCACCTGCTGCCCACGTTGAAGATCTTGTAGTCCACGGTGAGGTCCTTGCCCTCCACCAGGTACTGGTTCAGGATATTTTTGGACACCAGCAGCCTGGCCTCCGACTCCTCCTCCCCGAACGACGGCAGGAAACAGCCCACGGTGAGCAACAAGGCGCTAACCCACAACTTCATCTGTGGAAGAAACCACACGCAACACGTGTATACGCAACACGTGTATACAGTATGACACAGAACCAGCTTGCTCTCAAGTATGTGTGTACAGTATGGGTCTAACATTATAGAGTTATTTAAAAGGCGGCACCATGGAATTGTAACATCCGGTACCGAATAGGTGGAGCCTTGAAAACACACAATGACCAAAGTTGAAGAAGGTCGGTGCCACCGCTCCGCAGTCCAGTGATACCAGCAGAGCCAACAAAGCCCCACCTACTCAGGTTTTGCAAAGTTCCCTAAAGCATCTCACCGGCCCAGAAATCACCCCCCCCCCCCTTATACAGGAGACGGCCAAAAGAGACATGACCAAGTAGATCTGAAGGTCACGGCTGAAGAAAGGATTCTCTCCTACCCAGAAGACTGGACATAACTGACACCACCAGCTCACCGTTCCTCAGTGGTGCAGCATCAACGCAAGATGGAAAGGAGGGAACGTAAACCAAGACCTCATGTGTTGAGTCTCACGATGTTGTGAAAACCTTTCAGAATTAGTAGGCGGAGTCTATTTGCCATTGAAACTCAGTGAAACAGATTGCTCAAATCTCTTGTCCAAATCTTTATGATGATACACGTACGTAGAAAACCAGCAATACTGTAGTTTTTGTCTTCAAAGACAGAGAGTGAGTGGGCATATTTCCACTATCCGTTATAGTTCATAATTGAAGAATTCATTACAAGCCAGATTTGACTCCCAGCCACACTTCCAGAAAAAACATTCTTTTGTGCAAATCAGAAATATTCAAGAAAATCTCATCTGTAATTGCAAATATGCATTAAATTATAGAAAAATACAGGACGCGGGG